CCCGATGATGTGGACGCTACTGCCGCCAACACCACCCCTCACCAGACCACCTTTGAGTACGGGGGTGCCAGCTCCACTTTTCCCTCCCAGGACTACTTCACTCACCAGTTCCAGCAGCTGAGTCTCCAGAATCACCAACTCCTCAACCACCACCTCCAGTTCCAGCAGCAGTACTTGGCTCACCAGGCCGAGTATAATACCCAGATGGCTACATATGATGAGCGCCTCAACCTCATGGAGGCCCGGCAGGGGATGACCCTTGCTCACATCGAGAGGGAGCGGGGCAGGTCTCGGCATATGTAGGAGGTCCAGCAGGACCTGGTCCAACTGATACCGGGCGAGCAGCCAGTCTGGAGGACTCCCTGGGAGGATTCTCCACTTCCACCGCCGCCAATTGGTGATGATGCCTTCATGGACGACATCGACCTTGACAACCTTGGCGACGAGTAGTATGTACTCGTCGCCCCTTCGAGTGTGTTTTTGTTTTGGACTTTTCTTGTTCGCTCCATGTGTGTGCGGAGCTTGAACTGAGTCTTTTGTGTGTTTTTTTTCTTTTTCTTTCTTTTGTGGATTTTCCGTTTTGTGGCCATCTGAGCTAACTCTGATCCCTAACGCACAATGTGCTAGTGTGTTCTTTATGTTCCCTTCGTGCAGAATTGTTCCGTCGTTCCATTTGTTCCCCGCTAACTGGTCCACTTCCAGTCTCCCGGCAGTCTTTCCACCCGATAACATTGTTCCCCTTATCTTTCCCTCTGCTCCATTGAGGGCAATGTCGAACTTAAGTGTGGTGGGTACTTTGTACTGGTTGGAATCTATATATGTGTGCTTTGAGCCTAGTCCGATGTCCAAATCTCGAGATTTGAGGGCTCCAAGGACTGAGGTTTGCATGATCATAATGTCACCGTGGATTTGATTGGTGAATCGAATGGTTTTCGAATTAATGCATGACAACTTGATTATAACTAGGACAACCTATGATGATGACTGAGACGTGCAGTAGAATAGTATAGGGGTTTAGTTTTTTAACTGTTTGCTTACCAACTGTGACTTAGATTGATCACTTGCTCTTGACAGTCGTTTATGCATCTAGTTTAGGGAATCAGAATGAGAGATAGAGCATATAGGTAGCCATGTGAGATTTGAGCTTGCTCATTTCTTTCTTGTGCGATAGATCCCTCTTCCATGATGTGTAGCATTCACGTTGTCACTAGCTGAGATGATGGAGGCATACGAATAGCCCACGACCAAAATGACTGTCCGGGTGTGTCATACCCCCTAGTCAGCCCCTTTGAGCCGTGTACTTTCCTTTCTTTTGGTTTACAATGGAAAATCACCCTTTTGCATCTCTTAGAAGGTTCCACAGAGTGGTTTTTGCATGTTCTCTGCTGTTTTTGCTAAATATAATGGGAGTGTTGGAGGTATTGCTTAAAGTTTGGGAGTGTGTTTGAAAATTGTGCAGAGGTGGTGGTTCTCTCAAGAAATAAAAAAAGAAAAAAGAAAAAAATGAATGAAAGCAAAAGGGAGCCACTACCAAAAATCTGAATCATGCTCATTAAGTAGTGTTTCTTAGCAGTCTGGCTTAGAAATACTAACATTATTGTGACCTCCATCGCTCTTGTGCTCTAAAGAATTTTTGAGTAATGCAGAATGGTAGAAAGAAAGTAACTGGTTTGATTGGCTGTGAATGTGTTGGGTTTGGAACTGTGGAACCTTTTGCTATGAATACTTCCACCACCTAAAAGGCATTTTCCCCATGTCCAAGACCCTAGCCAGTCACTTGAACCTGTGTCTAAGACCTCCAGATTAGTTAGTGGTGACATCCCTTGTGTGAACACTAACATTTAGAGGCTGCCATCATGGTGAAGAGACGTTAGGATTTGAGAGAATAAGCATGCGCATTTTTCATATCAAATTGTCTTGACCCCACTGGTCGAGAGTGAGCTATTCATTTCCTTGTTCTTTATGATCTTTACCCCGGTGAGGACCTAGATGGCTCGGTCTTGATCCTGATGTCTTGAGTTTGATGCATGCGATGACTGTCTTGGTTAAGTGTTTGAGTAAAGTCCATGTTGGTTGGTGAATACAAAGGATTCCTTTTCCTTTACCCGATTTTGCTGCACTCGAATGTCCTCTGTGGTGGTTGTCTAGGTTGCTGTTGAGTTGTCCATGTGTCAATGATCAAAAGCCAGTATGATTCACGTGTTCTGTGCCAATATGATTTGTCCCCAAAGTTGGTATGATTGAAATGTGTTGAGCTTACCTTGTATCTGACTTGGTTTGCTTGGGGACCAGCAAACGGTTAAGTGTGGGGTAATTTGATGACTTGATATATAGACATGTTTTATCCACCATTCTTATGTTGTTTGAGCCTCATTTGTCGTATCTTAGGCATATTTCACGCTAGGTTGTTCTCGTTTGTATTATTTCGGGTCCTAGTACGTGATAGGAAGTTTGGGAACGAGTTCGGGATCGATCGGACGAAAGTTGGACGTTTGGCGAGAAGCTGAGGAATCCACACGGCCAGACCTAGCAGCCACACGGTCGTGTGATGTGGCCGTGTGGAATCCCATTACGCGGGCAAGACAAACTGCCGTGTACTGGGTCCCTTGAGGCCGTGTGGAAATTCCAAGAAGCTCACGATGTCAGGCCGAGATTCCACATGGTCGTGCATTTATGGTCGTGCAGCGTGCATGAAGCTCATTAGATGGAACACCGCGTTTTGGTACTCACACGGGCAGACTGGGAAACCACACAGCCGTGTGGTCGGGAAATTCTGGGTTTTAGCCCAATTTTGAGCCTAAGGAGAGAGAATGGAGTTTTTGAGCAAAAAAAACATAGTTTTAGAGAGAGAAAGTACGAAGAACAAACCATAGGAGCTATTTTGAGTGGATTTCTCATCATTGAAGCCCAGATTGCATCCCCAGGAGTGAAGATCGACATCCCAAAGCATATTATCCTCATCTTTATGAGTATGACTACTCTTATTTCTGTCTGCCTCTCTCTCTATGGAGTAGAAACTTCTCTCACTTGGGTATGAAGAACCCTAGTTCCATGTGTTAGGAATCTTGATTGTAATGACTTGGGATTGATATACTGATTGGTTATAATCGATTAATGCATGATTTATTGAGTCAATTGAAGTCTGATCATCTTTTCTTGATTTCTGCTGCAACCTGAGATAGATAGAATCTGATTAGGTTGTTAGAGTTTCATCAATCGGTAGTAGTAGATTGGTTATACGAGAGTTAATCAATTTACTGCTTTGTACTGGAACCCAATTCCAGTAGTGGAGTTCTGTGCTTATTGCCTCAGCAGTCTATCCCGGTGAAGGTTAGTCGCCTGCCGGTTAGCCTGCCTGAGAGGGCTTGGTCAGCTTAAGAGATTCCAAGCTACTGTCGGATCTTCCGCAGTTTAATCAATAGTTAATCAACCCAGGGTAATTACAACCTCGACCTAACTAAGGAGCTAGGGGGACTCATTCCCTAGTGACTCTTCCCTTGCTAAAGAACTTTGAATCACAATCACTCGAGTTAGTTTGCTAGATAATAGATAATCACGGAGTAGGCAGTAGATCTAGACCCCGAGTTGACAAATAGAGCTTGCCACTTACTGCATTTCCGGACTGCGATTACACTTGGTCGCAGTTTGGTGTTGTGTTTTAGCGTGTCACTCACCCTTCTTTCAACTAATTTACTTCTACAATAAATTAGTACCTCAGTTAGAGTAACTTGTTATTACCACATTGAACCTTTTAAATTTTAATTAGTGAATACCTAAAGAAAAGGTTGTATTTCTATTACTTCTAACTATACAAAAGGTCTCAATTCCATTCCTTGGGATGTCTCTTAGATCATGCCTCTTGGCAATCCCTTGGTAAGAGGATCTGCCAAAATATTGCATGATATAACATATACACGATAGAAATGATTCCATTAGTAATAAAATACTAACATAATCATGTCTTAGACTAATATGTCTACACTTACCATTGTAAATATTGTTATAACACTTAGACAAAGTAGCCTCACTATAACCAAAGACAGAAATGGCTGAAATCGGTTGTGACCACAACTCTATATCTAACAACATCTTTCTTAGCAATTCTGCCTCTTTTCCAGCCGCCTCAAGGGCTAGGAATTCAACTTCCATAGTGGAGTGGGTAATACATGTTTATTTCTTCGAAGCCCAAGAAACAACTTCATAACCTAGTGTAAAAATCCACCCGTTGTAGATTTATTATCACTAGCACTTGTTATCCAACTAGCATAAAAAACATCTATTTATACTTGTGAAAACTAGAAGTTACTTCCAAAGAGATACATCGTTTCGCATAAAAAGTTATAAGTTACCTTTTTCGAAAGGACACATCCTTTCATAAAAAAGGGAAAGGTATCTTTCTAGAAGGACACTACTTTTCACAATATTCAAACGTTAATTAATTAATCAAACTATCAAAAGACTCAAAATGTGGTATTACAACTCTATTGACTAACTTTTAACACTAATGGCTTTCAGGATTTGCCAAATGTCAATGTGGCCATGCCTAAACTTCTGGTAAGTGACTACAATAATTTGGATAAATTATTTGAGCAGTACTTAAAGTTAGGGGTCTTATTTGATGCATATATATAACTAGAGTTTACGGGTGTAATTAGCCCAAATTGATAACTTGGTTGGTGTATTTGGCATTTTGGGCAACTGAAAAGAAAACTAGTGATTACTGTTACAGAAGAGTTGAAGAATCAGTGCCATATACTTACCTAGAGGTGTTAATTAAACCACTGGTACAGTTTTTGTTAGGTAATTTGTTATTTTCCTTTAATCTGGTGGGTGAAGGAGTATGAGACCGATAATACAAAAGAGTGTGTTCCAACTGCATGTAAATAATGTAATCTACTTAAAAATCCGTATATGCGATTTACCAGTTTTGTTTTGATATTGCGAGACTATATCTATGGTCAGTCACACCAAGATCACTTGTCTTTAATTTCCTCAGAACACACCAAGACAGCTAGCTTCTCAATATCTAGCAACGACCAGTACACTACGTTACGTACATATATATACACCAGCCCAGCTCCTCTCCAAAGACCGGGAAAGAAAGCAAGGAAAACTCAGAAAAAGAAAGAAAGAGCGAGCGAGCGAGCATCTGGGAAACCAAGAATGAGGAGGTCCAGGTCCAGCAAGTTGGCGTTGGTTGTTGTGAGGCTGAGCTTGGGCGTCCTAATGGCGGCCAGCGCTGCGTCGGCGCTGAACCTGAGGGCACCAGTAGTGCGGCGGCCATTCAAGCAAGTCCACGTCCTCAACGAACTCACTGACAACAAGCTCCTCCACGTGCACTGCCACTCCAGGGAGACGGACTTGGGGAGCCATGACGTGGCAGTGGGGGCGGAGTACACGTGGAGGTTCCGGGCAAGCCCCCTGGGGAGCAGCAGGTGGTCCTGCGACGGCACCACAGACGACAATCGGCGCGTGACCTTCGAGTCGTACTGGGAGGACGTGGCGCTGGCGAGGAGGGAGTATATGGGGAACACTTACTGGGTGGCCCAGGAAGACGGCATCTATCTCAGGCCCATTCAGGGAACTAGAGACGAAATCCATGCCACCTGGCTCCCTGCTGGCCCCCCTACCGCTCCCCTGCCCCCACTGCTACACTGACTCAATATAAGACATGAGATGAGACGAGATGAGACTTGCCCGCCAACTCTCCTACTCAACCATGGATCGATTCGTGCGCCTAAATAAGGTTGTTGGATTTGATTGGTTTCGTTTCAACTATATATTTATGTTAAACGCCTAGCTCAACTGCGCCCTAAGTGGTTGCATAATAATAACAATATGTAATAATAAGGAATATCAATCAAAGTATTACCGAATTAAACAAAGTGAGACGGTTACATCATCTAGCCATAACAGGTTAATAAGAAAAATCGGAGGCCTATCTCATCTAAAGCCCAAGTATAAACCTTAGTTGAGTGCATGATAGGGCAATTATGTTTAAATATCAACCCGGGTCGGCCCATGTACCGCTACTTCGATTGTTTGAAACATTATCTAGCGGTTGGTTTTGTTGAAAGCAAAGATCTAAAGCTAAAGTACTTGAAAAGTGAAATGGTTTTCACACTAATTGAGAAGGCTTCACCTGGGTGTTGCTCCCCCTAGCTAGCAATTACGACTTGATGGATCGAATGGCTGTGTGTGGTGAGTGGGTTGCAAACCACCGTAGGGAAGTCTAACAAGTAGCCAAAGCTACCCTCTTAGTCTCTAGGTCGAGGAAAGTGGATACGATCCAAGCCACTAATGCGACTCTCTCAACCTATTCACTAAGGATTGGTTAAACTTCACCCTTGAATCGGAGTTTGGCCAGCCACCCACAACCAAACCCTAGGTGCAATACGAAATAGGAGGTTTGCCCTGCATTAACCTAACTAGGAGCCTTAACGACCGTAAACAGCCTTGGCGTGAGTAACCTCAAAAACCCCTCTGGACACTTCGCGGTTCACGGGTTGTGGTTCCAGTTCACGGTCCTGGCGACCGTGAACTCCAATGTTGGACCGTGAACACAGATTGAATCCTCCTCTTTGCCCGGTCTTTGCTCCTTTTCTTCCAACTTTCGACTCTAGGGTTGGTTTCACCTGTTAGACTCTAAAACACACTTAAACATAAGAAACCTAGCGTAAAACCACCCCTTTTGGAGCCCAATTGCCACAAACGCCAGATGAGTCTCATATGCCTATCGGATCTTCTCTACCAAAGTCGAACAATCGACTTCCAGCTGCAAGTTTCATAATCCTAGTTATCCCGCAAGCTGAGCACCAAATTCCGCCGCTAGCGCCTCATCCATCTCTACTTCGTACGAGCCTCTAATCTTTTTAGTCGTCGCAGCAAGGAAATGACCTTGGTGATCTCGGACTACTGCTCCTAGACCCGCTCCTCCGTCAACGAACAACCCAGCATCAGTATTTATCTTGATGCAGCCCTCAGCCGGCCTCGTCCACTAATCCTACACCTGGTTACCAAGCAACGCATCTTCAGGTCCCTGATTCTTGCGTTATTCATCCAGGAGAGATACTGCCCTCTGCACTATCTCGTCCTCGCCATTGAATAGTTGCGTGTTGCACTCCTTCTAGATTGCCCACAGTGGAATAGGCCAGTGTTCCACCAAGTCTAAGCTCTCAGTCTTCAATCGCTCTTGAACCCATTCCATGCAGTTCAGCACCCCATGCATGGCAAACGCTCGCTCCCAGGGAGTCCCATGCCAAACCTGACCGCTCCAACTGCATTCAAAAAATATATGTTGTTGCGTATACAGCTGGTTGCAAAAGGGGAAAGCGTCACTCCAGTTCGGGTTCTTAGCTACCATCTTTACCCCCGTAGGCAAGACTTCCCACATAAACCGCCACATGAAGTGCCTGACTTTCGGCGCTACATTCAACGTCCAAATGGCCTTCAAAAGCTTCTCATTGCCCGTTGGAAGGATACCCTCATCTACCTTGAAAACACCAAATGACTTCCTGTACCCGCTTTTGGCTGAGAAATAGCCATCATCACTATACATCCAGATCAACACGTCTTGCTCCTCCGCCCCCCTTAGAGGGATGGACATGATAGTCTGCGCAAGGCGAGCTGAAAAGATCATGAACTGTGGAGTCTACTGGGAGGATTGCTGTGCCAAAGACACAAAAGCTGGTTCCGAAGGCAGCCGTTGATCTCCCCACACCTTTACATGGGCACCATTGTCGATTTGCCACCTCAAGCCATCACATAAGAAATCCTAGGCACTCATCAAGCTCCAGCAAATGTAGCTTACTTCCCACTTGGGCCTCAAGAATTGAACAGTGCTTGTGATATCTAGCAGCAATGATTCTCGATATGAGCGATGACGGCCGTAGGAATGAAGGATTTCTATCAGCACCAAACACTCCTGCTGATTAGCCTTGGCAAAAAAGATACTATCGTCAGCGAAAAAAGATGGGTAATCACCGGGGCACCTCGATTCACATGTAGCCCATGCAGTCGTTTCTCCTCCACCACCTTGGCTGTATAGGCTGACAATCCCTCCGCACAGATCAGGAAGAGATAGGGTGACAACGATTCGCCTTGCCGAATCCCACTACCTGGGTTGAAGGTTTCAGATCGATGCACATTCACCACGACAGAGTAAGAGACGGTTTTCACTTCCATCATGACCAAATGAATCCATCTATCCGCAAACCCCATCTTCCTCATCACTCCTTCCAAGAAATGCCACTACACCCGCTCATACGCCTTAGCCATATCAATCTTTGTTGCGAAGTAGCAATGCTTCCACCATTTACTCTTTTTCATGGTATGAAAACACTCAAAAGCTGCCATAATGTTATCCGTAATAAAATGGAGAGGGACAAAGACAATCTGCTGGAGAAATGATCTGATCTAAGAGAGGCTTAAGGCAATTAGCCAAGACCTTCGACACCAGCTTGTCGTTCTCCTCTTCTCCCAGTCTGCGCGAGATAGACTCCAGGGTCAGTTAGGCTGTTGGGACAGGTCCCGCCGTAAAAAGTGACTTGTAGTACTCAACCATGCACGTAGATACCTCAGTCTGTCTTGTGAACCATCGTCCAGCCTCATTCCCGATCTTCTTAATCATATTCCTCCTTCGATAAGAGGAAGCTTTTCTATGAAAATATCATGTGTTCTTGTCCCCCGACCGCAGCCAGTCTGCCTGAGATTGCTGCTTCCAGTATCGCTCCTCATTGTCCTGGATGTTCGCCAACTCATCCTCCAGTCATTTAAGTTGGGTCAAGACTGCTTCCGTCTTTTCTCTTCTCTCCAGTGCCCTCATTTCCTGATGCACCTTTTTCTTTTGTTTTGCAAAAGCCGAAAAAGTTTGCCGACTCTGGTACTCCAAGTCCTGCTTGGAACGATCAAATTTATCAAGAACAACAGTTGACGGCAATCTGTTCCAGATACGCTCAATGAAAGTGGGGCAGTCGTGGTGTTTTGCCCACACCGGATCAAACCGAAAAGACCAATCCCATTTGACTTTGTCATCCTCCTCGCATATTGATTCACAAATAACTGTGCGATGACCCGAATGCGCCCTATCCCCATGCTTTATTCTTCCATTTGGGAACATCATGCACCACTTCTCATTCGCCACAAAATGGTCTAACCTTTCTTCAATATATCCATCACACACCCTTCCATTTTCCCTAGTAAAAGGGTACCAATAGTAGTCCAAATCCTGACAACCCACATCATTCAGGCCGGTACTGAACTGGACCATTTCCACTTTTGGTGCCCCTCTTCCACCACTCTTCTCCTCTGTCGAGAGCACTTGATTGAAGTCTCCGCCACACAACCACGACCCGTCCCATTGGTCATTAAGAGAACGTAAGAGATCCCACGTCCTCCACTTATCACTCCTCTTAGGCCAACCGTATATCCCCGTAAATCTCCATCTACCTCCCGGTTCTTCATCTATAGCCACATCGATATAGTGAAGATCCGAGTTCATGAGAGTAAGTGACACCTCCTCCTTCCACCACACGCTAAGACCCCCCCACACGACTACGGGGCGATATCACTGCTCGGAAGCTCTCTCCATGCTCATATCCACATGTCGTTCTCATTTTCAGCACTAGTATGTTTTATTTCCATTAAGAAAACAACATCTGGGGAATATCGGCGCAAGAGCGCTTTTAATGCATTAACTGATCGCGTGTTCCCTAGCCCATGATAGTTATAGCTCAACAGCTTCATTAATGATCCAAAGGGGATAGGCTCCCCGCGCCCTTCTTCGCGAAATCATTATTTTGCGGTGCGCCAACTTGTCGCTCCTTGTCTTTGTGATTAGACACTTTCTTCGTCTAGTTATACTTTTTCGATTTGACTAAGGATGGAATAAGTTCGGGAGGGTCATTGCGAGAAGGCCCATTATTCTTGCCCATGTTGCCCAACTGCAGATGTTGTGCCCCCTCTCTCCCCACCTGTGTATTCCGCCTCTCCGAATGGGTTGTCTTGTCTTCAGTTGCCAGTGGTTGGTTCCTTTGTCCCGACAATGGAATAGCTCCATTGTCATTAGCGGTGGTAGGAGGTATTGGCTCCGTAACTCCATCAGTCTCCCTAGTCACCATTGTATGTGTCACAACCTCCTTGTCCTTCTGGTTCTCTTGGGATTCCTCCCTGCTAATTTCCTTCTGCGAGCTAGTGTCCTCCTCGATAAGCACTACCTAGCGTGAGCCCTTGACTTTATCACTTGCCTCATTAGACCAATGTATCTCTCTTTTGCCCTTCTTGCTTCTGTTAGGTCCTTTTCCTTGGGGTTTGGCCATCATCCATTCCCCATAAACACTAGTTGGTGCACTGCTCTGCTCAACTTGGGGAGTAGACGTGGGCTGGTTATTGCTTTTAAACAAAGTGGGGCAAGTAACTTTCAAGTGTCCGTACTTGCAACACTCAGTGCATATACGATGCAAACTCTCGAACTCCACGTGGTAGGTAATCCCTTCAATCTTGAACTGCGACAACAGTGGCTTGTAAGGTCAACCTCAATGCTAACACGGGTGTACTTTCCACAATATCAAGTTTGAGTAGCTCGATCAACTCGGATAGGCTTCCCAATCCTCTCCGCAATGTGTTCACTGCTTCCTTGTTAATGAATTCCCTAGGCAGTCCCAGGAAGCGAGCCCATACCATCGCCAATGTCACCTTAACCATCTTTGGATCAAAGTTTCGACCCCATGGGCGCACCGTAATGTAGTAGTCTCCGATCATACACAGCCCCCCTGCTGCCGCTTACTCATAATCAAATTGACTAGTGAATCGCACTGCATAGAAGCCAAAAGACAAACTAGACACCTGAATCGTTCCGCACTTCGCCCATAGCATCTCCAGTCTAGGTAAGATAACTGGAAAATGGAAGGTTCATCCTAGCACCTTAACAATAAGTGTTGACCGCCATTCTCGTCTCCAACATTGCTTTTCTAGTGTCGTATACAGAATAGTAGGGCATCATTGGTCCTCGTCCTCCGGAACTTCATCGTCAAGATCGTCTTCTTTCATGGAGGCAGCTACGTCCTCGGAATCCGATTCTGCAACATACCACTCATCATTCTGATGCAAATTGCTGAAAAGCTTACGCGAGCCTCCTTCCCATACTGATTCGCTAGTCGCCTTAGCTGGGATGATATCCGCTTCTTCCATAGGAGCATACATGGGTGTCGTAGTATCTTCCTCACCAAAAAGCGGTTTATCCCGCATATGTTTCGCTTTCTTCTTAGGTTGTCGAGTCTCCCTATCCCTTTTCGAGTTAGGAGAGGAAGTGACCGGTGGAGGGCATCGGACGCCCGCAGTTGGATCCAAGAGGCCTGCGTCCGAGGGATTGGCCCCCCTCACCGGCGTAGCCATGAACGTACTTGGTGACAGGAAAAGTAGGTTTAGAAAATCACTGCTCCGTTTTTTGCGGAGCTAGGGTTTCTGAAACTCAATTGTACCCATTTTTGCCTTGCCAAAGGTGTTCTGCCCGTTGAAATTGGCAAAAGCAAGTTATGGCCAGATCTTTGGATTTGGGTTATTGTGGATTTAGAAAAATGTTATGTTTATTTGTTGGAATTGATGAGTGCCGTAAGTCCACAACACAAATCGCTTTCCTGTAATTCTCTTCTTCCAACTCTGTGTTGAAGAACCTGCTGCAACGGTCTAGGATAGAGTCAGTAACCAATGGTTACTGACCTATCAGTAACTAAACCAGGACCGTAGATCTAAGGACAAAATCATCATATGGCTGGGTTGCACGCGGAGTAAGGAGGGGCATTTTTGTCCGATTTTTGAAATTTGATTTCTTTCCTTTTTTTAACTTTTCAAGCATTTATATGATGTCTTTTATGGAGGAAAGAGAAAACAGACTTCTCTCTTCCTCTCTCTTTTCTCTTTCTTTCTTCCTTTCTCTCTTCCAAACTCCTTTTCCAAATCTAAATCTCATTTCTTCTCTTGTTCTTCATTTTTTTTCTCCAACAATCGACAAAGAAATTGCAGCCTACCACCTCAAATCCGGTGACGCTCCAAATCCTTTTTCTCTCAAGCTGCTCCTTCCTTCTGTTTTTTCTTTTCTCGGCCTCAAAATCGATGACGCTCAATATTGTCAAAGAGGGGACAGATCTAGGTGAGTCAAGTTTGGATCTTTTGTGTTTTAGTATTTATTTGTGAATTTTCAATTCCGATCTTCCTCCTCTTTTTTCTTTCTTTTTGCATTTGGTACTTGATTGTGGAGGAGTAAATGAGAGGAGACAGAAGACGAGTTTTTTTTCTCTTCCTCCTTCTGTTTTCCCCTTCTTTGAGAATATATATAGATATTACCACACTATACCATATGGTAATGTGTCCTACCTAAATGTATTTTTATAGTCACAAGTTTTATCATGGTGGTAGTGGGTGGTAAACAACACCAGTTCCGAGAAAGAAGAGTTAGAAGACAATGAAGGGAGAGAAGAAAGTGAAGAAAGTCGTAATTGTATATATATGTGTATATATATATTGAGATTACCACACTATACCATATGGTAATGTGTCTATACCATATGGTAGTGTGTGGTAACGAAATGTATTTTTATGAATATCATGTTTTTACTATGGTCGTAGAGGGTTGTAATTAGATTTATATGATTTTACCTTCTCATACCATGTGGTATTATATTATAATTATAATTAATTTGTGGTCTATCAATTTACCATGTTCTACTATGGTGGTATTGTATGCTAGTTAGATTTATAATTTTCAGTAGCGTTGTTTACCAAGTTATACCATGTGGTTGTAGTTTGATTTGTAATTTTATTTTAGCATGTTATACCATATGGTATGGTATGGTAATTAGATTTGTAAATTTCTGTAGCATGTTTTACCACGTTATACCATGTGGTATTGTATGGTAGTTAGATTTGTAATTTTCTTCAAAATATTTTACCATGTTTTACCATGATAGTAGAAAGTGATAATCATATTTATACTTGTAATTAGTGTCTTCAGCACTGAATTATTTAATGAAAATATCATCATTCAATTTGAGTTGGAATTAGAATAGAGATTGCTATGATGGTTAGATTCATTTTTGCTGTAGATGGGAGAGAGAAGAAATAATGTATTTTTTATTTTAATAATAAAATAAAACAAAGAGTGGGAGAGAGGGAACCAGTGGGGTGGGGGAGTGGGATCCGCGCCGGGTAAAAATAGTCAGCGTCAGAGTGTCAGCGCGTCAGCATTAAATAGGGGGTGCAATTTACCTTTGTGCCCCTCCGTATTTAATTTAAATATAAAAAAAAGAGTGACACATGGGGACAGATGATTGGGTTACTGACAATTACTGACATGAAGGATACTGACCTGATGTGGTCCCTGCTGCAACCCAACCATATTCTGTTTTCGATGAGTTCATGGCAATACCAAATTTGTTAAGAAAGTAAAGAGGATAGCACAAGGACAGATAGATAGAAACAATCTAAGGCAAAAAAACAAAGCTCCTCGAACCAGAATCTCAACTGCACAAGGAAACTTGAAGCATGTACATGCTGCTTCGCTACAACTAGTACATGATCTGTCATCGGTGGTCCCAAATGCGATTCTTCCTCGTTAGCCATTTACTCGATCTAAAACGCTACGTTAACTTGCTTGCTCGCAGCCACATTCTTCACCAATATAGAATGATCAACCAACAGCACAATTTGCATCAAATCACCCGCTGCTGTCAGGAAAAGTTGTTTGAAGCATAAATCAAACCGAGTATTCTAACCCCAGGATCACTCCTCCATTCTTGTTTAGTAATTTCTCATATCTTATGTTTCGCCATCAGATTGGGTTATACTTGCTTGATTCCCACTTTGATCACCAGCAACGGCATTCATTTCTTTAGGAGCTTCGTCCAACAAGCTTTCAGGAAGCACACCATTCTCTACTTCTGATTGACCATCTCTGAGGAGGTACTCGTTGTGATCACTCATTGTGTCATCAGCTACCTCTGGATCTGGAAGGTCTCCAGCAGGCACACCTTCGGCTGCACCATTCTCCAGGGATGGTTCAGTGGACGAGTAAGCCATAGACTGCTGAAACTGGTAGCTCATTGTTTTTGCCTAGTAAAACACAAGTAAGAGCATTCGTGTTAAGCTGAGAAATAAGAAACTAGATAAGTAGATCAGTTAAAAGCTAAAACAAGTGCACTTCTTCAATTACTAACCACCTGGAAACGAATAAAACCTTAACAGAAGACATTCCGTGTTGCAAAAGCTAAAGCAAACACAGCCCAAAGTTGCCGAGATAGACAAAAGAGATTCACTTCACACCAAAAGGGAACACGTCATGGTACCTGATACAAATGATTAATTTTGTCAGCAACAATTTGAGCCATCTCCTCCACACCATTGACAAGGTAAGGTTGTCCAATGTTGTCAGCGGGACGTTCAGTGTAACGTGAGGTCTCGTGCAAATTCAAGGCAAGGTGGTCAGGCCGCTGGAGTAGGAGTTGAAAAGTAGGCTGCAGTTCATAACACTGTTCAAAAAGTGATCGACGGCAGAACACATAGAGACCCAGTCGAGCACGGGACATTGCAACAACCAATCTTCTAACATCACGCAGGTGACCCACAAACCGAGTTCGGACAAGCGAGAGCAAGATAAAATCATTTTGCTGCCCCTGGAATTTATCAACCGTTGCCACCTGCATATAAAGTAACAAAAGATTATTGAAGTCTGTATATTGTAACTCAATGCATCACCATGATCAAATGAGAACTTCTCAATCAAGTACGTCCTTCCCACTTCTAACTCCTATCATTGGAAACTAATTTGGAAAAAAATTGGACCACTTCTAAGTTCTAACTCATTCGCAAAACATTTCAATTCCGCCCCCGTCTCTTTTATGAAACTCCAAAAGTTGAGAGGTAATTTTAACCATTTCAGACCACTCACATATTCTAATAATCTCATCTTCCCAAAGATAATCAATAAATTCTGGGACCACCTAACCACTCTATATTTGGCAATTTCTCGACCTCCAACCAGTTTGGCATCAAACGGAACCGACTCATGACAGTATAGAGCAAAATCATTTTCCATCTACAGCCAGTCCTCTCTCACTAATATTTCAAAAGCAACACGTCGTGGTTCAGGGATCTACTGATGAAAATGTTGCCAGAATCTATTGAATGTGAAAAGTGGTGATAACCAGGCATCTGAACATGTCACAACAATAACTTAGAACCAGCTCAGCTATGGACAAGCATACCTTGCTGGGTGGACCTATGAAATCATATGGAACACACCGCCTGTTGATAACATCCCGTATCAGAAGCTTCTGACCGTTGTATGTTGTTAAGATAGAAATTTTGTTAGCAGGATACCCTAGCAAACGCATATAGATGTAGACACTGACAACATATTCAGCCTCTCCTTCATTCTGGTAGAACCAAGGAGATGGCGCACTCTCACCCTTTCCATGGTAATCAGGAACATCAACCAACTGATAGTCATATGAGAATCCTGAATTCGCCCTACGGTACATAGGATCCTCCCTTAGATAAGGAAGGTCTCCCAAATCCCTGTATCTCCAATTGTAAAGCTGCGCTATGCTTGGCCGGGCTCTACCTTGTGCATTGAGCTCAATATAAGGGATTCCCAGCCGAACAAACCTTGTGAACAAGCTCTGGTCCATGTGACTGTACTTCTGAAAAGCCATATTCTTCACAACAGGAGGCAACTGGTGATGATCACCTATGAGAATGCAGCGCTTAAGCCTTGCATAGCCATCCTCCTGCCTCTGAAGTAGCATCGGAATGAATGTTTCAATCTCCAAAATTTGGGCACTTTCTTCCATCAGCAAGTTGTCATACTTGAAACCCAGCTGAAGGAAGTCCCTTCGCTTCAACGCTGCATGTGTGCAAGTCATGGCTACTATTTTCGCTTGCTTGGTCATAAGATAATTCGCTCTGTCGGCTGTTGACTTCAGTAACTCAAATGCCCTACACTCCTCGAGCTCTAGGAACATAGTCTTAAGATGACGGAAACAACCCATAGCTGTCCGCATGTCCCTCTCAAATGACTGTCCTGTAAACAATTGCTGAGAAGTGTTTAAAAAGAACTCCTTAAAGGGAAATATGTCCTGGACATAAGTCGGTTTGTCTTTATTATCTGCACAAGCAAAAAGGAATCGCTCCCAGCGAGAATAGACATGAAGCAACCAAAAATATCCAGCAGTCTCGCAAGTATAACCTACGTCCTCCGGAACTTGAAGAGACCTCGCAAGCCTTTCCACCTCACTAAGTAGCTCTAGCCGTCTAACAAGCATTGCATTTACACGACCTTGCCTGCTGAAATCAAGATCAGTTGCTAGCTCTTGCTCTCCCTGACCCAAGCGAAGAAGGTA